GGCCTGGGGACGGCCGGGATCGCCGGGCTCGCCATGGGATTGCCAGGATTTCCATGGAATCGGCAATCCGCCGATTCCCCCTTGTTTAGTAGTCTAGCGAAAATATGCGAACTGAAATAAGAACGGGTTTCAACGCAGATTTTCATAATTTTTTTTCTGGGTAGTCATAGTCCCAGGTTCCAATTCTATGAACAGATTCGATTATTGAAAATACTATTTGAATAATCGCGATTTTTCACGAAAATCGGAAACTAAAATCGGTAAAAATCGCTACTTTAGGCGATTTTATCGCGATATAGCCTCACAATTAATCGGCATGATAAATCGCAATAAATCGCCGATTTTTAAGCGATTTTCACCACATGGGTAGTTTCTGGTTATATTAAGGTGTCGGCTTAATGTAGAAAATTGCTTGTTGTCATATATTTGATTGAATGGTGTTGAATCGGTCTAAATTAGCCTGGTTCGTAATCTTACATAGAAATCTCCTGTTTGTTTGTAAGATATTGTGAATAATACAAGGTCACTAAAATGATTGAAAATATTGATAAGAAGAAGATAAACACATCACGGAGAATCTAAAATGTACTTAATAACTGATTGATGAAAGTAAAGTATAACTGACTAGAGTTTTCTGCATTATTAAAAAATTTCGTATTTTGCAAAACTTTTCCTATATTCTTCTTCCCAAAACTTTTCTTAAAAAGTATTAGAAACTTCTCTTTCTGGAGTATATATCTAGTGAAGATAATGCATTCTAATTGATTTTTTTCAGTGAAATATAAACATGGTATTTATTATTCCATTAGCTGTTGAAAAACAGCAACATCTCTCAGTATCAAGCATTGGCATGCACAGTTTTTACTCTTATTCCAAGTATGTTTGCTGTTTAAAAAAACATAATTGTACGAGTAAAACAATTTTTATATTTATTATTTTGTTGATAACCTTGACTATTAACACGCTCTGTGGAATATATCAAATATGAATATTCTTAGGGAGTTTATCTCTTTACTAGAATCCATCGAGTTGGTCTTGGATCCACACCTCAACGTTTCCTATTGATCAGGTACGAATCTGAAAGTTTTCGATTGATCGGAATCGACTTAACGGACGCTACCATGGAAACAAGAGCTAGGTATGACTTGATTCTTCTAATTACATGGTAAAGGTTATCTGAAAAATGTGTACGATGTGTTTCGGAGCAACTATCAGGTGCATATTGAAATATTTCTTTGAGCATTAAAAGCATGGTTCGTATCCGACTCCAAAAATGTTTAATCAACTAGATCCAAGTTCAAAAAATGTTGAACTCGATGGAGTCTACTTCTTATCGACGATATCTATTGACACTATCATGTTTTTTTTTCATACAATTGAGATATGTGAACACAGCTATATTTGACTAAAGCGAATTTTTTGTTTTCTCGAACATATTTCAGTGTATATAAACTGAAATTGATCATTCTTGTTTCTTTTTCTGGATAAATTTAGTTCAAACAAAAAAAACCTGGTCTTTAATATTTTTTAATAAAACATTGATTAATAAAGAGCTCTGTGATTAGTTGAAAATTGAAAAACATATGAAATATGAAACCAAATAAGACTGCTTGCACAATTTTTCACCTTTCCTTGATATACTTGCAAAAACGTATGAAAAGTGCGGAACTTTGAAACTTGACGAATTAGTGTATTTATGTTGAGATAAATCCGTAGATTTTCTCTTAATAAACTTTTTTAAATACAATCAGGAGCATTCTCATATACAAATCACTCAAAGATTGCTCGAGAGAATTAATTTCTAACAAGATTCATAAAATCTGTCTTATCTCAGCCCATAAACGTGATACACAGGTTTTCTATATCGTATCTGCAAACCTGTTTTTAGAACGATCCTCGCAAAAAGATTCGTTATTCTATTTGCATGATACTTTTGTTTGTTTTTCTTTTAGGTTAAAAACAAATATTATTCGTATATGCATTTGAGCGGATCAATTCCGGGTTACATATACTATGGTATCAGCAGCATGAATTTATGGTTTTTTTCTGGTTGCCGCTCATGGACAAATATGCAGTTGACAGTCTTATTTCATTGTCTGCAATTAATGATTCGTCAACGGTATATACGCGGTACCAGCGAGCTTACGCAGGTAAATACTTCTAATGAATTTATTAAGAATAAAGAGTCACATAAGAGACTAATTTCTACAATAGATCATGTTTTGTGTAAAGCAGAGACTAAGAGAAAACTAAAAGATCGAATATTTAACGACCCAATTAATCTTTTTATTAAAGTTGATAAATAATTGTGTCTGATTATAATATTATTCTTTATTTCTAGAACAATGTTCATTATCACTAACAAGTACTGTTAACAATATAAGCAGTTATATATATATATATATGAATACATTTACCGTCTTTTTGTGCTTTGCTATCGTAATATTATACCTACCCATGAATCTATCTTATTATTATGTTAGCGATAATCATTTGAAGAATTCTCATCTCATCTTGTTATGTGTTGTATGTGCAATCAATTAGTCAATGCTTTCTCATGTAGATCAATCGATATTCTATATAATATTCGATTTACATCAATAATCATCGTGCAAACAGTTGGCTTCTTTGCTTTTGTTCTTGGCATCAAATATATATCATTAAATCATGTATACTATTAAGAAATAATCAAATCTTCTTGACATTGGATGTGTAATATACTTAGCAAAACATTCATAAAAGGAAATGGTATTTCTTTTCTTTATTCAACGTTTTTTGTACATGTTCTAAATATTGTAAAAGGAACTACATTAATAAAACTATTGACAAATAACTATTCAAGAAATTATTTCGTTCGATGTGCATTGAATCTAATATGTTAACAAGACTCTACTGAATTCTGTTAGTTCCTCTGAATTGTAAAATCAAATACATATATGTATTGGAACATTCTAGATGTCTTAAGTCATGTAAAGGAAATGATATACACAATTATTATAGTCAATGTCTAATTAATAGTGACACCAAGATTATTTAAAAATATTTCGTATAGAGATATTTTCCACTAAATTTTAATTGACGATCATTTTAGCAGTTTTTTTTTCTATAATTCTCAATTGTTTGATGATTTTAAAACTAGAGCAATCAGCCCCAGCTGAATAATAAAAATCTTTATTATCCTTTAATTGTTAATAACTACTGCAAATTTATTCAAATTCCGAGAAGAGAACAAATAAGTTCGGAGGAATAATCGCATAAGTCGTGAGGAAATGGTCAGAAACTCTAGAAGAGATAGACTAAGGCGATCGTCTTTCCAGCTCCGTACGGGACAAAAACTCAAAAGTGCTACGATTGGCATTAAAAGACGTAAAAAGAAACAGGAAAATCTGATAAAATAGGAGCAACTAACTAACATTAGATTAGACAGATATTAGAGGATAACATTTGCTGCCAATATACAGATTCTGGTTAGGAGAGAAATAGCAAATGATGTTTTGCTGTCAATATACAGATTCTGGTTAGGAGAGAAATAGCAAATGATGTTTTGCTGTCAATTCCTTTTATTTCTTTAAGTTGTGTCACAATTCGGTGAATCTGGAATGAAGATTATGCACCAAGAGATCAAATATGAGGAGAATATAATCACGAGTAACAAAAATGATCTGATGTTTATAGATGAACTTGAAGATGTCAGATATCGTATTTAATAATGCTTTCATAAATAACTTTAATCTGAAAATGAAATATATTACTTTTAATTTTTAGTGAAGATGATTCGGAAAGATGCATTATCTTGTGCATTCTTTCCTAATATTCATCGTTTCGATCTAGCATCTCTGACTTCCTTATTAATATGTACATAGTTGTCATATACCATTTGAATATTATGTGTATAGTCTTTAAACGCTCAATTTGTCCAGAAATTGTAATAAATTACTGACATACATAGAATTAAGTCAAGAAGAAAATAATATAAAAAAACTATTAAATCAGCAAGAAATAATCATGAAAAATGAAAGAATTTTCGGCAAAGATTACCGTTTAGCATCAGAAGAGAATAAAGTTTAAAATAGTCGGACATTTGACCACATGAATTCTGGGTCTCTTCATAAAATGAAAATCTCTTCTTAAGACAATTATCTGAGAGCGAAAGAATAAAATATTTCTTAAACCAGATCCAAAAATATAAACTATATAAGTATTTCATCAAAGTAATATAGATCAAAACCTTAACTTAATCAAATGTATTTATTCACAAATCATTGATAAGTCGTAAAATATGTATATCATACATTCTACTAATATCAACACAGAATTCAAATTTTTTGAAATAGCATTGTAAGTATGTTCAAATAAATCATTTCAATCTTACCTGGAAATAAATCTTTTCTTAAAAATCTAATAAAATTTTAGTTTAAAAAGATTGGTCAATAGTAATGATTTGTCTCAGTATATGAAATCAAAAAAATAATTTTATATCAATATCAACAAACTAAATAAACATTCTCAAAAAAAAAATAATGGAAAAGAACAATTGACTTTCGATTTGCAATACAATTATTCTTCCATTGACTTGTCATACAATACAAACCAAAAAAATATGTATGTCAAACAAAAAATGTTATTTTGGTTTTAACAATCTTGTGAAATGAGCTTTGTTCCTAGTAATATCAAAATTGTATGTGTTGTTGTTCCTCTTGGTTTTAAACTAATTCTGATATTTTCTTGATGGTTATTTGTTTCAAAATGATATTTTTTCTAAGACATTGTGGTAAAAAAAGTTTATACATTTCCATATGAAATTGTTGAAACATTGAACAATACATAATAAATGTTATAAATGATGAACCAATTAATGTTACATCCCATATATCACTCAAATGTGAATATAATAAAAAGAAACCTTTATTAATTCCACTAGCAATAAAAAAAGGATTCTTGGGAAATACCACAAGTACAGTAAATAATGTTATAAATACAAGCATTGTTGTTGTTGTTCGTAATTCACATTTTAACTTTGATGTTGATGAGAATACAGATGAATAATAACGACGAAGACGTTCATGTAATTGATGTGCATGACGAATATTTAATATAAGTAAAATACTAAATACAATTAAAATAAAAACTGGTAAAAATTTTAAAACATAATGCTAATATAAGAAATGAAATTTTTTCTAATTGTTTACCTGTTCCTGTGCTAACTCAATAAACTGTTTCTGTAGAATTTTCTGTAGATAAATTAGGAAGATATATATATATAAGCTGGTTGTCGAACAACATTCCAAATTAAATAATTTTGTATCATTAATAAGCATATTACAAGAGCACCAATCCAAACAAGAATTATCACATGTCTTGAATTCACCACTATTTGTTTCAGTTTTAATATTTTTGTATATAGAATCTAAACAATTAATTATTTGTATTGACAAACATTTTTTGTCTCTTTCATAACACTTACAATAGCAAGAAGACAAATATAGTCATAAAAAGTTATTCAAAACTCAACTGACATCAGTAAAAAAAAAGAAACAATGTGATTAAATGCTTTCGGATTTTGATTACTCTCGAGCATGTTAAGTGCTTGCCTGTAAAATAACGAAAAACGTCCTCTTGTTTGAAATTGAAGAGTTTCAGATAAGTCAAATTTGGACAATTATCAGCAAGAAGAATATGTTCCATAGATATTGTTTGAAGAATGAGTTTTTGCCATAATGATGGCTCCAGAGTAGTGTATAGAAGTACAAAATCGATCAAACTTCACATCAGTAATTGATGATGTTCTTACAAAATTAAGATTGTTAGTTAATACACCATCTTGCACTAAAATATCAAGTCGTTTATTTTTAATTCCAAATAAAGAATAGAGAACATCAACATTGTCGACTTTCTTCAAGATGGCAAACAATATTTCATTAGGTAGATCAAAACGATTAATGTCAGACTGATTCATGTTTGATCATGACTATCACTCTTCTAAAAACATTCATATATATATATGTCAATTTTCACCAATGAAAAACGAAATGCTTGACCTTGATGTAAAAGAAAAACCAGTTCTCTGAATGAATCGTCCATTATTATGATAAAAAAGATGCTGTTGTTTTTTCAACATTTATTTATTTTTATTGCCGTCGGTCATCATGTTCATTCACACGAAAATAGAAGAAGACGTCATCTTACACAAAAGAGTGGGTGTGGGGTGTGGGTGGGGTGGGTATGGGTGTGGATAAACAGAAGAATCATCATCCACGCCACACCCACACCCACCCTTTTCATAAAGCGTATTACTCTAATTTCGGTTAGAAAATTGCAACTTACCATTATCGCTTGAAATTTTCAATCAACACTTGATGAGTCAAGATTATTATTCAGTTCAGCCGAATAACATTGATTCATCATTGCTCGTTTATCGCTTCAACAAATTGAATTATCTAAATAGTCCAAAAGAATCAATTAATAAGTAATATAGCATTCGATACATAAGTTACGTGTTACAAGGATGTGGATGTAGGTGTAGATAAATAGAAGACCTATTCTAATACCTTTACTCCCATTCACGCCCACACTCACGAAAAATTACGACATCAAAAATTCAAAATTATTGAAGAAGTAGCACGTTCTTTACTCGTGCAATTAAAAATTACAGGCAAAGATATACAACATTATGCTGAACAAAATGATATCGAAAAGATCTTCGCTTTTCAAAACAACGTCTTTCGTGAGCAAACTTTACATTATGACAGAGAAAAGAAGAATAATTATTTATGAAATCGATCTGATTTTGATGGATTAGCATTTTTTTAAAATGATCAAACGACAAATTCCATTTTTCAAAGTGAACTATCTCAATTGTTTACAAATCAATGTCGAGATGCTTTAATATTTATCATTTAACCATGTGAGGACTTGTAACCGCACGATGATAATCTGAGATTGATACCAAATTATCAAGATCAAATTGAATTTATAGAATCTCTAAAATATTGGTATGCAAAAGCAAAAATACCCTATTTTGTTATAACTGATTTGGTTATAACAAAATGTGTTGAATTTATTGAAAAGCACATATATGGTGATTTTCATTGGTTACTACCATCAATCCTAATTCCATTATGTTTACTATTTCATTTAAATAAACGTCAACATCATGGACAAGATAATATATCAATGGCGTCAGAATCAGAGCAATCTTATATGCATTTCATTGAAATATTAGACAAACAAAATATTAAAATTAGTTATAAAAATTATGATCTATCTTGTTTAAATAATACATTTGTTTTAATATTATTTGATCGGTTATACTAATAGTCAATTACGAGGTCGTTTATGTTACGTATATGCTGGTTCAATTGATGAAATAGAACAAATCGTTAATGAAAATCGAGAATTTTCATAAAATTAAAAATTTAAACTAACGAGCAACATGCATTAGACTATTATTTTAAAGTTGCACACCAACAGTTTGTATAGAATCTGATCATGTTATTCAGATTGATGATATCGGAAGCGGTGGCTATACATTCACTGATGGGTGAATCTTATTTGAGAGTTTTAAAATATAACATCCAAGTATATAATGAAAAACAAAAATATAGGGAGATTGGAAGAGCAATTTTCTGAAATTTGAAAAGTTTATGTGCCGGGCAAAGTTGAAGTTTACGCATAATTAATCAGAGATATTACAGCACTTAAAAATTAAGAAAAAACAAAAAGTATAAGAAGAGGTAAATGATCTTATATATTTATATTAAGTTATGTTCAGCTTTAATTTAAACAGGGTTAAGCTCAGGAAGCCACAGAGTTCGCCAGGGTGTACTATTGAAATCTTGAGGGTGTGGGTGTCGGTAATCCAGAAATGAATAATTCGTCCACACCTACATCGTAGAATTTTCGAAAGGTATGGTGAGATAAAATTACAGCAATTTTTCTCAGTAAGGGCACAGAGAACAAAAAAGCTTACTCGACATATCTATGTTCAAAATGTCATACTCGTCAAAAATACATGGTAGCTGAAGAAACTATTTCAACAAAAATACGAACGATTAGAACTACCAGCATTTTGCCTGTCGGATGATACATTTATGGTAGGATTCAATTAGAAGAAAAACTTTCAGAAAAGCTTTCTAAAGGCGAAAACTGGTATAAATCTTCACTTGTGAATATCTTTACAAAACTACGCTGAAAGTTTGTGAACAGGGTCTGCCCAAAAACATTAACCCCTCGCTTTCAAAAACAATCGAGAGTCTTAAAGATAACGAACAGAGTATTTTTTTAAATTGTTTGTCAGTTTAAAATGGAGCTGCTGTTGGTTCATGTTTCATTAGCGATAGCGACTATGACATTGATGTTCGAAGTCAATAGCGATGTTATCAACAAAAATATTCTGGATTAAATTTCTACTTCGACAGCAAGCATATCTTTCAACTGGATCAACAGTCAAAATAGACACCCGTCATCAGTTCAAATACCAGATTCTATGAATAAACAGTTTCCATGGCTTACATCAATGCAAAAAAATGACGAACTCAATAAAAGAAAAGTCATTTGGCGTGGTTTTGTCTAACTCTTGAGCTTGATTGTGAGCAACTTGAGTTTAAAAGAGCTAAGTATAAGGCAACCAACAAAATATGTATGACAACTAATGAAAGTACAAAAACTCGACTGAAGATCGAAATATTCGCATCATGAATCGTTTGCTATTTTTGTATTTATTGAGTCATATAAAATAAAGTTCATGAGTAGGCCAGCACCGCCGTCGAGAATGCAAGGGAATCTTGTTTTCACTGTTCGTCTCAGGGATGTCGATTCAGCATTAGCATTCTATGAAATTAATAATGACTGCAATGTTTTTGTATTAAGATTCTAACACAAAAGTATGGTAGCTAGTATTAATTAATTGCAATCCCAATGCTAAGCTGACATTCCTAGTTCTTCCAATGGAAACTGATCAATCTTTTAAAAATGTTGACAATAGAGCGTAGAAAAAAAGCAGTGAACTTCAACACTCATTTTCAACCGTGTTTCACAAAAGAATCTCAACTGAAAACAGATGAATTGGATTGATATTTCGAAATTTATTCACAATTTACTTGTGAACTGATCCAAGCCCAACCTTAGCCAACGACATCTTGTTTCAGAGGAAGTCATGCTACTTCGGATTTTTCCTAGTCCACGTGGAAAGTTAGTAGCACGAGTATTAAATACAACGACATTTAGTATCGGTAAACTCTGTGTGCAACCCATATCGTGCTACATTGGTATCAGACGGTGGTTCAATGTACATAATCCATTTCAATATTTGCTCATTACTTTTAATACAAAATTCATCTCGTAATGGTTGTCTTGGATGACGATAATATATTGTGTCAAAAGTCTGATGCCATGCATTTGTATTTGATACATTTTCTAATTCATCATTTTCTATTTCAAGTACACGACCCATAAGAATTTCAGCACATATGACAGCACCATCTCGTCTTGCTTTAAACTGGGTATGAAAAATTGAA